GACACGAGAGAAGGCACCTGCAGTGGTGAGACAGAGAGCGGGCTCGATTAATTGCTTGGCCGCGGCAATCAACCTTTGTGTTTCAACGATTCAAGTTTTCGATTGATTGGTACAGAAGACAGAGAGATCGGAAGCATCCTTGGTCTCGTTGGAGAGCTTTTTTTTTTTTTTTTTTTTTTTTTGAGAGCAATTTCACTTTTCTCCTGTACGTGCGTCAGCTGTTGGGAACCAAAATAGGGAGAGAGAGAGGGCCTCGCCACACCACTGTCGAAACGCAGAAAAAAAACAAACGAATGCATCAACCCCAGAAAAGCGGTAAGATGCATTTGTTGCTATTCATAGTGACAGATGCATCTTGCCACTCACTGCGGGAAGATGCACTCGTACTTTTTTCGTTTGGACAGTGGCGTGGCGAGGCCCAGAGAGAGGGAAAGTGGACGGAGGAAAAACGTTCATAGACGCGTTTCAAGCACGGGAGTTGGGAGAAAAAACGGGAGGAGATCCCTCTCTCTCTCTCTCTCTCTCTCTCTCTCTCACACACACACACACACACACACACACACACACACACACACACACACAGAGAGAGAGAGAGAGAGAGGCGAATTAAGCACTGGAGTTGGGAGAAAAGCGAGAGGAATGAGTACAGAGCAAGCAGAAGTACAGTGAGAAGAAACGGGAAGACATCTCTCACACAAAGCGAGAGAGAGAGAGAGAGAGAGAGAGAGAGAATTTGAAGGTGAACCTTCTATAGAAACAAAAAAAACAAAAAGAAGATTACTGTTCCTTCGCCAATCAGTCGCTCGAACGGTACCACGTGACCAAATATCATACATGATGATACAAATTTTATTTTTTAGAATATTTATTACATGATTTTTAGAATATTTATTACATGATTTTTAGAATATTTATTACATGATGTTCTTTTATACACCGTTTTCTTTTTGCGGCCCCCCGCGCCCCCCCCCCCCCCCCCCCCCCCCTTCTCCAACGATATTCAGAAAAAAACTCTCTGCCTCGAGACATTTCTTTATCCTCATCATCATCATATCATAAATTCATCAGCTCGAGCCCCCGCTCCTCCTGGGTCAATGAAGATATTAACTGCCTTGCCGACACGTGGCCGCTCCCGCGTCTTCTCAAGGCTCTGCTTTACATGCCCTACCGCACCCATCTCACGCAACACAGCTGCCACTTCATCAAGCCTCTCAATATATTCCTCTTCTGTTAACGGGAAAGCTGTGTGCTCTCTATACAGCCACATCACATGCAGTGCTAATAAATTTTTGCCCATGAATTTCCGCCTCACGAGCTGTACGTCGTACGATTTCCCATATTTGGCGCGAATCAACGATGCCAGATCGTTCCCGCCAAAAGTGGTCCGCTCCGACGAGAAGTTTCGCTCAATCTTCTGCCGAAACTTCGCCATGTCAGCCGCTGAAGGCTGTGCACCCCGATCCCGATCGGCATCGTCCCCTTCTTCACTGCCCAAGTCCTCCTCCCCCTCCTCCCCCTCCTCCTCCCCTCCCTCGTTACCAGCAGTAGCTCCTCCATAGAGAGCCGACGGCGGGACGAGCCTCTTGTCACGTGGTGCATCAGACTGCCACGTGGTAGGTCGGGACGCCGCGCGCTGCCCATCTGCAATCTGCCGTCCCTGCCATCCACGTGGCACCGCCGCTGCCGCCACCTTGCGCTTACCCGCTTGGCGGGCGGCGGCTGAAAGCGATCGCGCGCGCGATGGGCGGAGAAGGCCAGCTGTCACACCCCCCACCATTCTCATCCTATCCACGCTCCTCCTTCCTTCCTTCGACCCATGCCAATCTCCCGCGCTTTTCGGCCCCTGCCAATCTCCCGCGCTTTTCGAAAAGCGCGGCAATTGAGGTGCACAGCAACTCGTTGCTGCTGAGGAAGCTTCGCAGGAGGACAGGTGTCGGCAGGAACTGGCGGGATGTGAAACGCATCGCCTCATCATTGCTGTTGATTGGCGCCATCCTTCACCGCTCACGACACGTGACAGGCCACCAATCGCCGCACCAGACGACGGCAGCTCGCCGCCACTCAGCGGTGAATGTGGAGCTGACACATGGAACGCTGTCGTCGGACATCGCCATCCTTCGGCGCGCAGGACACGTGGCAGGTTACCAACCGTATCTGACGACAGCTCGTTGCCACTTGGGGTTGAACGTGCGACTGACACGTGGCACGCCGCTGGGGGCGAGACCTGCCAGTTGCACCTGATCAAGGCCATCGCAGTCAATCCCCCTGCGACGAACCCCCCGCGCGCGCGCTCGCTCTCTCCCCTCTCCTCCGCTCTGTACGCACAGCTTGCCGCCACGTGGCCAACGACACCACCAATTCGTTGGCTGACTTAGAATCAAAGAAATCAATTAAACGACCAGCATGCATCCCTGCCATCCTGCGCGCGCCCGCCTTTTTTTTGTATTTGTTTTTTTTTTTTTTGGGAGAACCGTAAAAA